TTCCACCTCAGCCTTCCGAGTAGCCGGAATTACAGGCATGCGCTACCACGCCCGGCTGATTTTTTGATTTACTGTAGAGATGAGGTCTCACTGCCCAGGCGGGTCTCAAACCCGCGGGCTCAGACAATCCACTCACCTCAGCCTCCCAAAGGCGCGTGATTACAGGCTGAGCCACCGAGCCCGGCCCATATTTCATTTTTAAAAGGCATTTCTAAAATAAAAATTTACGTTTGACTACCCTGTTTCTCCCACACTTTCACACCCAGAGTAATTCTCATTTTCCTCTGTTGCTGCTATTGCTTGTTTTTGGCACAGCACCTACGCCAGACCAGTGCCAGGGGACCCGCCGAGGCGCCTGCTCTCCATCATGAAAGCTGGCATTCCCTCCCAGCCTCTGGGAGACAGGCTTCCCAGCAGGGGAAAGGTCTGAACCAAGCCATCCCTGGCTTCTCCCTGGGCCTCACTGGGCCCAGCACTTCTCCATGGGCAGTCGAGGTAAGAGTTTGGCCAAGGCGCAGGTATTGTTCTCAGGGTCACATTCACTGACCGCTACTGTGGTCAACTGAACTCAGCTAGCTCAGACAAACTAAATGGTTCTCTAGGACAGAAGACACCTTGGGCCCTGAGGGCAAGAGGACGATACAGACTTGGATGAGAATTATTCTTAGTTTCTTCAACTTTTCTCTCATGAAACAGAATTTTCCTAAACTCTTAGTCTGTGACACAATTCTACTTGTCTCCCTGTCCTATTTCAAGGCATCCTAGTGTTATTACTCCTCCAGCTTAGTGTGGCGGTTGAAAGTCTGGGTCTAGAGTCAGTCAGACCCTGTTGCCCTAGGCTAGTCTTCCTCAGCCTCTCTGTCCTCAGTTGCCAAAAGGTGGTGATGAGAATCCCCTTCCTTCACGGCTGTGGGATTAACGGAAATAGGGCATGTGATATGCTTAGCACAGCACCTACCATGGGGTTAACGATTAGTACATGCAAGCAATTTTGTACACCATGCCAGCCACATTGTGTACAGTCACTGCTACCCATCAAGGGCATATTGAGTGTGTGACAGAGAATTGCTACCTGCCTATCTAGCTTTTCCTGCTTTCTCCAGTATGTAATTATTAATTAGTACCTGTGTCCCCTAAAAGTTAGGGAACGCATTTATGTCTAGTATACTAACTGTCCTTAATTGTTCTCTCTTCCCCACCATTAGGTTTGGTGCTTTAGAAAATCCTTTACAAGCTGATCTCTTGGCGGTTTCTCTCACTCATGCCAGCTCTGGTGGCATGTGACCCTTCCTTTTCTCCCTTCTTTCTCTAATAAACTTTGTCTGAAAACTCTAAAAAAAAGTTGATCCTTGATTTTACTTCTCATGAAGTTATTTTTTAACTCTGCATATGGTCCCTGGTTATTTCTCTTTGCTGAACTGAAAGATCATCAGGAGCCCTTTGCCGGTGTAGTTCACTCATGTCTACTTGTTTAAAGTAAAACTTGCCAAAGATCTGTAATGTCATCACGGTAATGTCGCTGGGAGGAAAAGTTGGGGCAACCTTCCCTACTCACGTTCCTGTCTGGATGGCATGGCTCTGTCCTGGGCTCCCAAAGGCTGCTGGACCTGGCAGGTGAAGCTTGTTATGTGGTAAAATACCTCAGCCAGGGACCAATGGGCCTTCGAAGAAATAAAGAGGCAAAAGGGACTTAACACTTGCTTCCTTTTGAAACTGAGATAGGAAAACGCTGGCGTGTGGACAGTACAGTGGCAGATATTACCAGGAGGAAGAATGAGACCCCCCTGAGATGGGGTGATTGGATTAGAGGGTGAGTCCAGACCTGCCACAGGAGTGGGAGAAGCATGTAGGTGCCTTGGACCTTGGCAGGCAGGATACGGTGTTCTTTGCATCCTGGTGCCCATCCTAGGGAAAGGGGGATTCACTCTTTGCTGGGACGTGCTGCCTGCTGGGTTGGTGGTCCTCAGGTAAACCTAGAACTAGGAAGTGGCCTGAGGTCAAAGCAAGGGCAGCGACTCTGGGATTACTGCCAAATCAATACAAAGTTGGAAGAAATTTGCATTTTTGGAAGAAAAGGCAAAATATAAAATTATTTGTAAGTGGCTTGATGTATTACTCATAACTGAAAAAAGAGAATGAACTTGAAACTGAGCTCTTGGTGATAGCCACCAAGGACTTCTTGCCATTTTATGCTGTAATTTACCATTTATATGAATTTAATGCGTTCTTTAGTGTATTTGCCAACAAGAAAATGTTCAGGATCACAAAATAGTCACAGGTAGACATGTTCAACATTTTTTTGGTGGCATTTGGCTGTTCTCCAACACTAATAAGATCTTGGCCAAAGTTATACATTGCTGGCTCTTCCAAAATTATCAACAGAGTGTTCTCAACGTTTTAGCGGAATATGATTTAATGTCAGTAGTACATAAACTTGTTTTCCCAATCTTGGGGAAAAACTTGGCACCACCAGAAGACTCAGCTTCTGATGGGCACGGGGCACACCTGCATCTTAAGAAAGTCCAGTGGGAAAATGGCCATTTGAGTTAAAGTTGAGGGCATATTTTGTAATTGGAATTCACTTTATGCGATTTTTTCTTTTTTTTTAAATTAATTTTTATTATAAAGATGTGGGGTACAATTCAGGGTTAGGTATACAAACACTGATCATGCAGGTGCCCTTATTGATGAGGTATACCAGTGTGCATAGACAATGCTTCTAGTTCCAGAGAAGATGGGGTGCTATAACCTACAGACTAGAGATGTTCCCACAGTCTTTTAGAAATCAAGTACCAAAGAAGTGCTTGAAACAGAGTCTACAAATACACACGCTCATTGTGTAAAATTAGCCCTCGGTTCTTAGCCTATCTGGACCCAGTTTGTAAAATGGAGGCAACAGGCCTTATGGCCACAAAGCAATCCATTGCTGTCCAGCTGCACAGCCTCTGAGTCAAGTCAGACACCGGCAGGTCAGGAAAGCCAATGAGAACAAAGTTCACCCTGGGCACATACCAGCCCATACTACACACACTCTCTACACAACCAAGGCTTCTACACTGAGGGTGACTCCAAGTCATCACTAAACTCTGTAACCTCAAAAGTAGAACAGCCAAAGGTGCACTGATAACATCACAAAGTGGAAACCAAATCAAGAAAATCCCTGAGAGACCAGTGGACCAATAGATGCCTGAAGTCGCATAAAACAGCTACTAAAGAGGCTGATGGGTTGAGCCTCTGTGATGTTTGGAAAGCCATGTCTGCAACCCCATTCAAACATGAAGGTCGTTTACGATGGCAAAAGCAGAATCTCAAAAGTTTAAGAGCCCCGGTTTATCTTCCTTCCATCGTTCCGTCATTCTCTTCTCTTGAACCACCCTCTTCTGACTTTCCTTCTTGGTCTCTATTCCTGCCTCCACTTCCCCTTGCTGTCCTCTGAGTGCGTGCCTGGGGCTCCGTCCTCAGTCCACTCCCCTTCTCGATCCACACTCACTCCTGGGGTGGCCTCACATCCAGTCCCACAGCTGTATGTTACATCAACACCTGGTGACACCCAAATTTATGTCCCTAGCTCTCACCGCTCTCTCAACTCCAAACTGGCACATTCACTTTATTTTCACTTAAAGAAGGAATTTAAAATACTAGCAACAAACAAAACACCAGAACAACCACAGAAACCTATCAGAAGGATCGAAGCACCTCAGATATCACACATTTGTCTGAAATAATTCACGCAGATAAGTGGCTGTGCATTTTACAATCTGAGTGCTCAGGGAAAGGCCTGAATAATTTTTTCAAGTGTTTCACATATAGCTGTCAGTGAAATTCTGCTCCATGCTGTATTTTCCTACCTACACGGTCCCCAGGCTTTGATTAGGTTGTGTTTCAAAACCCCTTTGGTAAATTAATATTCTGGGTGTTAGGTCACTGGCTCAGTTCAGGCTCTCAAGGCCTACGTGAGTTCATTACAATACCATGAGTTCCTGGCCTGTCTGTACCCACCTCGGTCACACCTGAATGCTGCAGACACAGTCTAAAGATAGCTCCAATCACGACTGCTCAGAAATCCTAGCCTATGGAATTTCACAGAACTATGGACCATTAGGTGGGGGCAGGACCTACAGGAAGGGCTATTATGAGAATACCAACTACACTTAAAATCTTGTTCAGTATAATTTTAGGAAACATTTATTTTCCTCTCTTTTTAAGGCCCAAATAATAAACTTATTTTCTCTGAAAAGATGAGTCTTGTTTCTCATAATATAAAGAGTAGTTACATTATATTTAAAAAATCTCAGATGGCTCCTGGTTCTACATCTGTGTACATTTCACAGTTGAGAATTAATTCAAAGTTTCTGCTTTGAACACTCATTTGTTGGACAAAATAAGAGTTGTAAACAAACTAATATCCAAACTTAAAACTATTTTAGCATTCACAGTAGACCACTGTGGACAGATATTTAAATCCCAAACCTAAATACCAAGAGACAGACACTGGGAGGCGGAAATTACTTCAGGTGTGAGATCTCACTTTTAAGTGCCCTCAGCAGCATAGGGCTCTATGCCCTTTGGGGCATGCAAGACAGCTTGTCCATGCCACAAATAAGACAAATTTATTAGACTCTTCACTAAGATTCTGAAAGCCTTGGAAGAAATAAGATTCCTATCTTATCTGAAATTGAATGAAATGGCAAACCAAAATTAGAATTAGGATGGGTCAATTTCTGATTTTAAGGTTTGACCTTGAAAGAAACTTAGACATTATTATAAATTATCTGCATGACACAATATACAAAAGTGTCCTAATTCCCAAGTGTCCAATTCCAATTGACATTATGTCAGATATGCAAAATTACTGTTATATATTTTAAAATATGATGATATGTTCAGATGTGGCTTATTCTTGTTTTTAGAACTTGAGGTCTACTTTTCAAATCCGCTCTGGTTTTTTTTTTCTGAGAACTTTAAGGGAATTGGAAACTTGAAACCTTGACTCTCCTTACCTGATGTTGGCTCAATAGCAAAGGCTTGATGAGACTGAATCAAAGTGATATGGAACTCGAAATCTACAGGGCAGCTGCACTGCAAAGGAATAACGCAAGTTTTGCTGCAAAACAAAAAATGAAAAGTATTATTTATCTTTATAACCTTATAACTAGGTAGCAAGGAATAGAGATGGAAGTTATAAAATAAACAACAATGACAGTCAATGCTTGCTGATCTGGTATTTCCTGTGTGCCAGGAGCTAGCCTATGCATTTCCCCTAGAGTAACTATTTTAATCCTATGAGGTGGTGCTATGATTATCCCCACTTGCAGACACAGCAGCCAAGGCACAAGAGAGGATAAGTGTTCTACACAAGGTGACGTGGCTAGTCAGTGGCAGAACTGGGATTCAACACAGGTTAGCTGTGCTCGGTGTCCACATGCCTAAAACTACATCCTTGCTGCCTCTCAAGAAGAATTAGGTGTATCCTCTGGACACTTGGAGTGATCTGGGAAAGGCCACCTCTACCACACAACCAGGCCTCAGGGAACCAAGGAAAGGCAGAATAGATGGGCCTTGTAGAAAGCCCGGGACCTTCACAGAACCTGGAACAGACAGCGTAGACAAAGCCACACTTTGGGCTGTGTTTGATTGACATATGCTAGAGACTCTATTTGGTCAGAAGTCTAGTGATGCTTAGGGAACCTGGAGGGGACTGTGTATTCAGAAGTGCTCTGTCACCCCAAGACAAGGCAGATTTCTAAGCAAGCTTGAGGCTGTTGCTTACAGCACCACTGGAGCTGTGGCAGCAGTGACACTTTTGGGGGAGCCCCATTCGTCCCACAGTGCTGCTTCCTCCTTCCATCAGGGCAAGCCCAAGTCAGCCAGAGTTGATCGTCAAGTCAACCTCAGGAAATGGAGCTTTTCAGGGTCACCTGGCATCCTACTCAGTGCTCCAGGCAGATTATCATTCCCTTTTCAGCAGCAGAAAATTGAACAACTTCTTTCAAGGGACTCTGCCACATCCTCCCTTGTCCTCCAACCAGCAGCCAGCTCCTTCATCCTCGACTCTGCCTCTCTCCTCTATCTCAAAGCTCCCACGCTCTCACAGCCCATCACCACCCTCCCGCTTTGGAGTGGGCCTTGCCTCTTCACCTTTTGGATACTGCTTCCCTGCCAACTGGTAGTCCCCTCATATTTTCCAGTTCTCCCAGGGGGACATGATTGTGATTTGGCTGGAGCAGAGCTGCCAGGCCAGCTAGAATCTGCCTTCTGGGGTGGTATCCACCCTGACCCATCTGTCCATGGACTTCTCCCATCACAAGAGGCTGCCCTGCCTGCCCAGTGCCTTTCTTCCCTGGAGACCCAGAGTTACATAACGTAACGTCTGAGTCCATTTGGGTCCCTAGCGTATCCCAGAGTCCCACACAGACTAAACTCAACAAATATTTGTTGGAGCAAAGTAAAATAACCTTTTTTTTCTGTTGCAATTTTGGAAATATGGCACAGCTCAAATATAGCTTTTAAAGGTATGCTTAAAGCATTTTTTAAGCTTTAAAATATATTACGTTTTAAAAATCTGCGAAATATTTCAAATCAAAAGAAAAATATTATATAAAGAGCAATAAAATAAAGATGCCTTCATTCATTCCAATGCTCTATCAAATCTTTTGCTCTGGCTACCTGTGTTGTATTTTTAAAGAAATAAGACGGTACAGGATTGAAGCTCCCTATACATCCATCTTCCATTCTTACCCCTTCCTCCCTCCCCAGGGGTGACCTCTACCCTGTTTTCACTGTCTCCCATTCCCATGCATTCTAATAAGATCACTACATAGGTATGTACTCATACAATACATCACGGGGTATTGTTTGCTTTTGACACTATTGCTCTGAAACTTGGTATTTTTGTTCAGCACGATACTTCTGAGATTAATCTGTGATGACACACGAGGTGCTGCTCACTCACCTTACCTAGTGACGAGCACTTCATCTATGTCCGTGCCACACTTGGTGCCTCTACTGTCCTGCTGACGGGCATTTAGCTCGTTTTCACTTTCTCACTATTGTGATGTGGCATGAAGATCCTAGTGCATCTGTAATAGAGCTACTCTATTTGTATAACTGGACAATGGTATTGCTGGTTCGTGGCAAAGTAAAAGTACCAAGTTCACGAGACATGGCCAAAATGTTTTCCGAAGCCCTTTACCAATTTAGACTTCCACTAGCAGCACAGGTATTGCATACCAACATTTAGGATTTTCAGACATTTTAGCTTTTGCCTGCCTGATGGAGGTGAAATGGCATCTCATTTTTCTTTAATTCTTATTTCTGGCTGGATGCGGTGGCTCATGCCTGTCATCCCAGTGGTTTGGAAGGTCCTGGCAGGAGGATTGCTTGAGCCTAGGAGTTCAACATAGCGAGACCTCATCTCTATAAAAAATTTAAAAATTAGCTGAATGTGGTGGTACACACCTGTAGTTCCATCTACTTGGGAGGCTGAGGCAGGATGATCACCTGAGTCCAGAAGGTTCAGGCTGCAGTGAGTTGTGATCATGCTGCTGCACTCCAGCTTAGGTGACAGAGTGAGACTTTGACTCAAAAAAAAAAAAAATCTCATTTATTTGAGGTTGTGCTTTTATTCCTGTGTATCTGTTTGTGTTTCGTCTTCCATGAATTACCTGTGTATATCCTTGGCCTATTTGTCTTGTCCTCTATTGACTTATAAATTCTAATATTAATTTTGTTAATTATATTAATTGCAAATATATTTTTCAAGCCATACTTTATTTTTTTATTTACTTATGCATTTTTGTTGAACAGAAGTTTTATCAGTCTTTATTTTGTAGGGAATTGAAATCCATCCCAAACTATAAACACGTCATGCCTCTAATTTATTCAGGTTTAATTTTATGTCCTTCAATCAAATTTTATAAGTTCCTCCATAGTGTGCTTGTACATGTTGGTTAAAAGTTTTCTCTAGCTGTCTTGGTATATTTGATCTGCTGCAACAAAATACTGAGTGGTTTATAAATATGATAAATTTATTTCTTATAGTTCTGGAGGCTGGGAAGTCCAAAGTCAGGGCACTGGCAGATTTGGTGTCTGGTGAAGTCCTGCTTCTTGGTTCATAGATGACTATCTTCTCCCTGTATCTTTACATGACAGAACAGACCAGGGAGCTCTCCCGGTCTCTTTTCTAAGGCCACTAAGCTCATTCACGAGGGCTTTGCCCCCATGCCTTGATCACCTCCCAAGGGCATCATTTTCTTTTTTTCAACTTTAAGATTTTTTTTTACCTTTTAATTTTTCTTTTAAAGATGTGGGGGTACAAGTCAGGGTTAGGTATACAAAGTTTCATTATGCAGGTCCCCTTGTTGATGAGGTGTGTCCCCCTCCCCTGGCAGTTTCCCACTACTGCCAATCCCTTTCTTATAGTATTATGATAATTGTTCCACTTATGAGTGAGAACATATGGTACTCTGTTCTTTGTTTCTGTGATAGATCACTGAGTATGATCGACTCTAAATCCATCCAAGTTCAAAGGCACCACTTCTTTTTTTTTGAGTTGGAGTCTCACTCTGTCATGCAGGTTACAGTGCAGTGGCACCCTCATGGCTACTCCAGTGTCGACCTGCTGGGCTCTGGCGATTCTTCCGCCTTAGCCTTCTAAGTAGCCAGAACTACAGGCACGTGCTACCATGCCTGGCAAATTTTATGACTTATTGTAGAGATGAAGTCTCGCCAAGTTGCCCAGGCAGGTCTCAAACCCGTGGGCTCAGGCAATCCACTTGCCTCGGCCTCCCAAAGTGCTAGGATTATAGGCTGAGCCACTGAGCCCAGCCATGAGGTTAGATTTCAACATATAAATTTTGAGGGGACAACAAACATTCAAACCATATCACCAGATATGTTACAGCTTCTGTTGTTATTGTGAGTGTGATTCTTTTCTTTTATAATTCATTATTACTGTGTATTGCAATGTTATCTATATTTATATGTTGATCTAAAACCATGCTAGAGTGGATTCCTGAGCCCGTGGGTTCGTGACCCGCCTGGGCAGCGAGACCTCATCTCTACAATACATCAAAAAAAAAATCAGCCGGGCGTGGTAGCGCATGCCTGTAATTCCGGCTACTCGGAAGGCTGAGGCGG